GTTTGTAAATTTGGATTATTGCGACAAAGAAGGTTATTAAAGGTATAATAAATGTTTCCTCCCTATTTAACTAATGTTATCTAAAGCATATATTTTATTTTCCTGTTGAAATATTCTGTGTTAAAACTTTTCCTCATTTATTTGATTTGACAAAGGTATTATATAGCATGTGTATGTATTTAATAAAATCGATTTATGCTGTAAATAATTTCTAGTTTAAAATTAAATCTAAATCTAATCGTTTTTGGTTCAGTATGACTTAGTGTGACAATAAGGGCCTTGCTGAATGTACTAATAATTTTCAACCGTGCCTGGGCGGATATCTTAGCTAACAAGTGAGCAGTCAAAACCAAAGGATGGTATAACTCATCTAAAGAAATTGGCACGAAACATATCAACTCTAGCTGAGTAAATTCCTGAATCCAGGGACCTCAATATCTGCAGATGGGGACCTGCTAACTAACAAAACCTCTCAGTTATGAATGTTTTAAGTGTGTCCGTTTTCAGTTCGTTCAGTATTTATTTTATAATTATTTCTCTTTTATTAAAGTTCAGAACAGCATAGTTGGATTCTTTGGAATAGTGATTCAAGGTTTTGTCTGCCGTGATCTTTTACTTGTGTATTCCAGGCAGAGTACGGCTCTCCTTTCATTACATTTAATAAAATAAGTAGGGCTATATACAAATTTAGCGTTTGATTTACATAACCTATTCTCCCTAAATTTTCCTAATATTGCTGCTTCTGTGGAGTCTGTGTCTATTCTTTTTTGATCTTATGTAAAGCTATGTAAAGCACTGTTCATTAAAATGTTGTATCCTATTTTATAGGGCTTGTTTCTCTCTACAATTTCCTGTCTCACAATGTACCGTTTGTATCCAGGAAGGGTTCATAGTTTCATAGTTGTCGATTTTCGAAAGAAATCAGAATTATTTCGTATATTTTTCATTTTATTGATTTTATGTAAAGCGCTGTTCATTAAAATGTTGTATCCTATGTTATAGGGCTTGTTTCTCTCTACAATTTCCTATCTCACAATGTACCGTTTGTATCCAGGAAGGGTTCATAGTTTCATAGTTGTCGATTTTCGAAAGAAATCAGAATTATTTCGTATATTTTTCATTTTATTGATTTTATGCAAAAGCACTGTTCATTAAATTTTGCACCGCTTGTATCCAGGAAGGGTTCATAGTTGTCGATTTTCGAAAGAAATCAGAATTATTTCGTATATTTTTCATTTTATTGATTTTATGTAAAGCACTGTTCATTAAAATGTTGTATCCTATGTTATAGGGCTTGTTTCTCTCTACAATTTCCTGTCTCACAATGTACCGTTTGTATCCAGGAAGGGTTCATAGTTTCATAGTTGTCGATTTTCGAAAGAAATCATAATTATTTCCTATATTTTTCATTTTATTGATTTTATGTAAAGTACTGTTCATTAAAATGTTGTATCCTATGTTATAGGGTTTGTTTCTCTCTACAATTTCCTGTCTCACAATGTACCGTTTGTATCCAGGAAAGGTTCATAGTTTCATAGTTGTCGATTTTCGAAAGAAATCAGAATTATTTCGTATATTTTTTCCATTAACTAAATTTTAACACCGTTACACCTAAACCAAGAAAGATGAAAAAGAAACCACAATTTAAACTTAATATAAATAGATAATTATTTAATTATTAAATCCATAATTATATTAAAATATAACACTTACGACGTTACTAAATATTAACTATTTCTACTTAATCATTTAATAATTCTGATAAAAACACGTTCGATTATTTATTTTAGAAATCATACGGGCTATAATCATTAATAGGACTATATTAACAATACTTAAATCAAAATTTATTTGAAGGAATGCTACTGTATTACAATAATTATTGTAAAACAAGTATGTAATATGTAATAATAACTCGGAATAATTATTAAAAACTGCTCATCGCGTTATAGATGTCGGTGTCTTGTCTCTATTATTTTATTAGCCGTTTAGCTATAATTTGATTTCAGATAATGCAGATTTTAATGCGCCATTTGTGTTTTTTTATTGGAATTATTATTTTTAGCATTTTTGATATACTCTATGAAGTGGTTTTAAGTGCTCCTGTCCATTTTTCAATTATTAAAGTGCCTATTTAGATACATTTAAAATTAATTGGTGTATAGTATTTGTATTATGGGTTTGTTTATTTTATATGAAATGATTTTTGTTCCTATTAAAATAAACATAGCTTACTAAATCACTACCTAGTCATTTTTAAATACAGGGTGTTAATTAAGTATCTGGCCAAACTTCAGGAGGTGATTCTTTGAGTGTTTCAGGTAAAAAGTTCATATAAACATGTGTCGGGAAATGTATAATCTTATGCTTTCTTTATCCGCCGCACGCCGGCCCAGTCTACACATCCATATCCATAAAATAGTTGGCCCACACCGATAAGACTTTATTTCGGCCCTCGAACGTCCTTGCACTATTCGATGACCAACGCCAGCTAAACTATCGACTTACGTGTTGACAAGTTGATTAGGCAGGTTATTGAACTCGCATACAATGTCGCCTCTAGCATGTCATTTTTTCGAAGATGGGTCCCATTTAAACCCGGCCAGAAGTATTTGCAATACTAATAATTTTTAACACAACGTAGGTTCCTTTAAAAAATGTCTATACGTATGTTGCGGATTATCTTTCCAAAAAATTCCTATATGGGTATTCGCTACTGCAAGAGAATCTACAAAATAAAATAGTTATTTTTTGTAAAGACTGCTGCGTTAATCCAACGGAGACTAATTTTCAGCAGTTAGGTTTACTGATAAACAAATTTGCCTAACGAATAAAAATTAAAAAAAAACAAAAAAATAAAAATTGTAGCGTTTTATTTTTCTTTTTATAAAATTCCAAATTTTAATATTGCTGGCGCCATCTATTCGCTAGATGTTAAACTTCATTCAGTACAGTTAGCGGTTCCTTTCCATAAAAACAAATTTCATTCAGTATAGACGATAGAGTTCACTTAAATGCCTTTGGTCATATGACCTGTCAATTCGAAGACTTCCGTTTTGCAAAAAGGAGGAGGTAGGCTTTTTCCGAGAGATTGAGATCAGAAAAGACGCGTGGTTCAGCGTCCGACGAATCTCAGAGAAAAAGGGCTTTCTGAAACACTTTTCCTAACAGTAAAGGCACGGGTATCCAAAAGTGGAGATTTGAAATCCTGTAGAATATACTGTTCAGAGCCTAGTTCGTGTTTTTTGGCCTTTTCCTGGAATAAGATCACAGTAAGTGTATCTACCATTTTGTATCGCCATGTCTAACTAAATTTTATTTCAGTTATTCCCGTTTTTTATTTATTTTGATAATGTTTGATTGTGCATTACTGGTTTGGATCAGCATATGGTTTGGCTATATTTTGGAATGTGTACAGCTGATTTTCAGACCGTAAGTTATTTTTTTGGTATTCGGTGACTGTTCTGAGAGTTTTTTTATAAAGTAACTGACGTATAAGTAACTGGCGTATAAGAAATTGACGTATAAGTAATTGGCATACGAGTAACCACTTTTGAGACAGTATTTATGACTCTACATTTATTCTACTGATATCGAAGACTCCTGCTACTATCGAAGAGTCTACATCCACTTCCGTTAGTCTGGAGACTGCCTGCCTATCTGTTCACTACGTCATAAATTAAAAAAAAAATACAGATAAGTTCTAAGTTCAACACACAAGGTATTCCCTAAATTTTTTTTACTTTGAGATAATATTTTGAATATCTCTGTGAATTGTTGTCATTTATTCCATATATTATAGTCAAAATTTACCTTTTAGTTAACATTATAAGTCATGCTTTGTCCTTAACGGTACGTTTTACTTCAGTATGATCTTTTATGTGAGAATCGCTACACGGATTCATTTTTGAAGGGTATTGTACACGACTTGTTTCGAAACATCATCGTATTGGTACTTACATAAATTTCACCTGTTTATATATTACGTAGTATAGTATACTGGAGAGAACTTTAACTAAATTTGAGTTTACTTAAAGTAACTAACGATTTCATTGGGATAATTAAAACTGGGTTTAAACTGATTGATAATTGTGTTCGTCTTTAAATAAATGTTCAACGTAGGATAGTTATATCTGACTTTTATTCTTGATGAACATAATAGACCCTTATTGCTGTTGATTATTTTATTTTAGCTATTTCATGATCAAATTTTCTTACTGGTTTCTTACTTTACCTTTTCATACTCAAAGTAAGTGGCGCCCTTTTTACTGTCTTTGACCATTACTATTTGAATACTTAACATCAATTTTAGAATCTTTGCAGCCTATACATTATTACTTTTATTTTATTATTTAACAACATTATTAAGTCACCACAGGTCACAGGTCTTACCTACGAACCCAGCTCTCCTCTAACCCTGAGCAACGGATACCTTTTTCTTTCTGTTTGAGTGATGACAGAAAAAGTCGTCACAAAATGTGTGTTAATACCAATAAAGTGAATACCAATAATAATGTGATAGTGTAAAATTCCGTAACAGCAAAGGGTACTTTCGATATTAAACGCCAAAATTATAATGAAAGAAGCGATAGCCTCTAAAAGAAAAAAAGAGCCTTTTTTAATACAATCTAATAAAAATAAATGTATTTTTATTAGTATGGCAATCGCTTCTTTGATTTTAAAGAACATAACATAAATAAACATAACATACGTAAAAATTAAAAACAAATTAAAAATAATCATACAGAAAGTTTGAAGCTTTTTGGTTTTATATTATATTATGTAATTGTTATCAGGTAGTAATTGTTAATTATGAAGTTTAACTTGATATAACGTCATTCAAAGATGTCATTTTAACAGAACGTCAACGGTTTTTGTAGACGTGTCTGTTTAAAAAAAAAACTAAAGTGTTATCAAATAGTTGCATTAATGTGTGGTGATCTTCGGTGCAGCCACCCTAATTATGGCAAATATTCTATTGTTTTTTTTTCTTTTTGCAGGTCGCAGCCACGACAAATCGTACGTGCTGTTCCGTCTGGGCAAGAAGTCCTCCGCGGGGGTGAAGGCCTTCGCAGAGACGGGCCGCAGCGACCTGCTGGAACAGATGGGGCAGGGCGGAGGTGGCGTATACGACGAGTTCAACGCGCCCCCTATATCCGCGGGGGTGGGGAGGACGGAGGCCGAGTTCTTCGTTGACGGCAATCATTCAAGGGTAGGTTTTGATTATTTTCTGTTTTTGATTTTAAATATTTATTGCGACATAATACACTCACCGGCAAAAAAAAACGGCCACTAAAAACTAGTCTCAATTTCAAAGTTGGATTTTTCGCGAACCACTCATTAGATTTTGATGATTTTTTTTTAAATTGTAAACTAATTCCTTCTTAACGGATGCTACGTCCGAAATTTTTTTTCCGAATTAATTTTGAGCATATACAGGGCACAACAATAAGACGAAGTTTTTTGCCCGAATTTTGTAACATCGTGTAGGGTGCAGCAACTGTCGTAGCTATTGCTAAATCAAATCACATTGTAGCCCCATCTTTTGTGAGCATTTTGTTTTTTTAATCACATTATCTCTGTTTGTATTGGAGATACGCTGCTTTAAAACGAACGTCTCGGAAAAATGCTTTGCAGGCAAAACCGCGATTCATCCGTGAAAAGGACTTTAGTCTATTGCTCAATATCCCAATTCAACGCGCAAATTGAAGACGTGCTCGACGATATCTTGCAAGTAGCTGGGGTCCTGTGGCAGAGTTATCTTTTAGTCTTGTAGCAGATGTTGATTCTGAAACGCTGTAATTCTCCGATTTCGTAAAGTATTCAGGACAATACAGCGGTCGTCAATGGGCTCTTTCACAAAAAAATAAAATACCCAACTCAAGGACAAAATCTGAAATAGAAGACTATTTTCAGTATATTTATCCAAAAAAAAATAGTTCCATGACAAGGAATAATTTTTTTATAGGCCTTCAAAATTGCTTTAATTTTAAATAATTTTAAAGCGCTAATTGATGACGTATGAAAAATACGCTCAATCATATTGCAGAACCGTGCTCGTGCACCAGCCAACAACTGGCAACATTGCGATTTGATTTGACCAGCACCACCTCAACTCAAGGCCAATCAACATGATATGGACAAGGCTAATATGGCGGCGAAAGCAGCGCATTATTAAATTGTTTACCTTTAAACTGAAAAGCCGGTAGTGGTTTCTCGTTCCGATTGCATACCAGAAATAATTAATTATCTCTAGTTTGTTGTGCTTCTGCAACACGTTTGTTTAGTTCTTAGTGTTCAGTGCATGGTGTGATCAGAAAATTGTGATAAAATAACAGTGTAATAAAAATTGAAACCAGACATTCCACATAGGGTACTTCAAACTTTTGTGCTTGTCGTACTCCTCTATTATTAATTATTTTAAGGTAAGAACTAGAAGTATTTATCAAGATATTACACCTAAATGAGTAAAAAGCCTTCACCGCCAGTCTGCATAGTACTTTATAATGGTTACTTACAATAATCAAAAGATAGGTATATATAATAAAGGGTAGGTATTAACATTTTATTGTAGCATACCTTTTATATGCTCTGTTCCAAATTATCACGAGAATTATAGAGGGGATCCCAAGGTTTCTACTTTTATATTCCCCAAAAATGACGAGCTTTGTAAAAAATGGTTGACAGCTATTAAAAGAGATAATTTCACTCCTACTAGTAGTTCTCGGGCAAGAAGTGCATTAAATATGCCTCAAAAAGGCCAAAGGCCAAAGCTTCTGTTACCCTAGTGAGGATGTAGTTATGGCTACTGCTTACACTTACCTTGAGATATTGACAACATTCACATTTGAAAATATAAATGGCCTGGATGTAAGTCTTTTTTTAGGTCACAATTGCCCCTCACATACGTCAGAATTTATCATTAAATCCATCTTGTTCAGATTTTATTGAAGATATTTTAAGAACAATATTTTATTGAAGAACTATGCAAAACAAAGGAATGACGTTATAAAAAGGTATTTAGTTTTTTCTATATAAAATCTAGTTTAAATTTATTCCCATTTGTGTAATGCTGCAAAACATAGGAAAAATATTCCATATTGTTTGACCCCAGTCAGTGTAGTTTACACCAAGAGCATTTACCAAGGCTTTTACTAAGACAAATAACTTCCTGTACTGTCCATAATAGTATATATTTATCAAACGTGCAGTAAATTCTAAACTATGGTAGGTAAGTGTTTGCAATTGAATATTTAGTTTATATTGCTATTTTCTGTCATATATTTCTGGTTATTTCTTTTTCCGATGATTTTGAACACCCTATATATGCTACCTCAAGTTTGAATATTTACACACTAGTACACTACCTACCTATTTTCTGAGAAAGCAGACCTTTTTATAAAAAGTAACTAACTGATGTTTTCATAAAAGTAATAATACAAAAAATTCCATACTTATGTTGAGAGCTTTATACTCCCTGTATATTAAAAAATTAGTGAAATATTATGTAATTTAACCCGACATTTGTGTGAAAAATGTGTATTTGGAAATAAAACAGGTTTTAAAATACGCGCTAAATAAAGCACTTCTATCTCCGCCATATTGGAAAAGGTTGAATGGCCTTGTGTGGATGTGGTGGTGGGTCAGCATGGTGGCCCGCCCGTTTTGCCGCTTTTCAACATGCCAGGTGTGACGTATTAAAAATAAAGTGCGGATTTTTATTCTGGGCTTTTTTGTTTTTATTTATTTTCTTAAGAACGACTTCAAATTTTTCGAAAGTGAGATAGCAGAAAATTCTAGAATTAATTGCTTTATTCAATTATGCTAATTCCAAAATATAGTGAAAGAGTCCATTGTATTTGTCTTCCGTTTTCTTCTGGAACCTACTAGACGGATGAAATTTCCCGTTCCCATATACCGATTCCAGGCATTCTGGACTGTTGTTCGAGGTATACCCAGGATATCGGACACATAACGTTGACTTCGGCCATCTTCAATTAAAGCCACAATACGAGCAACATCCGTCACAGATAATGGCATTTTTTAATTTGACAACCGTTGCCTTGATTATTTACACATAAAACTTTCTGCCTGCGAAGCATTTTTCCGAGACGTTCGTTTTAAAGCAGCGTATATCTTCAATACAGAGATAATGTCGTGATTAAAAAAACAAAATGTTTACAAAAGATGAGGCTACAATGTGTTTTGATTTAGCAATAGCTACTACAGCTGCTGTACCCTACAGCGTCTTACAAAGTTCGGGCAAAAAACTTTGTCTTATTGTTGTGCCCTGTATATGCTCAAAATAAATTCGGAATAAAAATTTCTGACGTAACATCCAATTTTACCTAATTTATTATTAAATATTATTACTATTAGTTATTATTACTGTTAGTCCAACCTACAGCAATATAAAATAAAAATAATGGTATTTAAGATAATTACAAAAATCTAATTTTAAAAGTTTTAACATCCTGTAACTATAAAATTATGCATTTCCATACCCATGTTTATAGGAACTTTTTCATATTTTTGATGAGGAATCGATGACTACTTATTTAAAACTTTCGCAAGTTAATAATATTAAGAATTTTTACGGTTTCTATTCGACTTAGATCAAGGCAAATTAAGAAAATTTCGTTTATCTCATCAAGGAGGCCGAAATCGACAAAATATCAAGAGACAATTTTTAATCGGCATTAAATTGCTTACACTATTTCGCTGACGAGAGAAAAAAAAGTCAGGGGCGTACATGCTTTTTTTAGCAAAATATTCCAGTGATAACCCATATGCACGTCCGTGGTTAATGTGTCGAAATTTTTTGGCTTTAAAAAATGTCGCATATATAGTAACTTTTACTCTCAAAATTTTATTCGAAACGCTAAAAGTACTTGGAAGAAAATTATAAAATCGAAAAAATATTAAGACTTTGACACCGGCCCGTAGCTACGAAACAAAGCAGAATCGGATCTATGTTGATATGGAAAATAAATCTTATTTTTACGTGATGAATCTCCCCACGAGAGATGGTACATGTTTTTTGAAACATCCTGTATATTGGTGTTCTAATGGAAAATTAGATTCATAAAAATTCGAGGCATTAAATCGCGCTCTCCGTGAAATTACATCTTATTATTTCATTACGTACCATTAAACGGTGTAATAAAACCTTTATTAAGGTTTTTATTGCAGCAGTAAAATATGGCTCAGCAGAATCTATCTAATAAAAACTTATTCAGTTTAATAAACTTAATTTTCGCCTTTGTGTAAAATTAAATATGCTCTGTATTATTAACCCTTATATGAAATATCTGTATTGTTCTGACAGAATGGCAGGAATGTTCAATGTTTTATGCTCTATTTTTAGAGCTATTATAGTTAGTAACAAAACATTTTTTGTTGAATATTATCTCTTTTCACAGTTAAACCATTTTTGTTCTTCAATTCTAGTTATTTGCTTCGCCATGTTGAACCAAATGCCAAAATTATAATCGCCACGTTGCCAAAAGTATAACCTATAATTTGGCAAGACTTTGACAAGCCTCAAAAATCTAAAGGCGAGTTCATACACATCGGCGTCCGTTTGTCGTTCATCGTTCCGTCAAACCAATAAAATTCAAATATGATCTGTCATTTTTGAAATAAACCAATAAAACTGGTTAAAAACAACAAGAAAAGACGCATGACGGATTTGTATTTAAACCCATCCATAGTTAACTTAAAAATATTAGAAACTTTTTTTAGTAAAATAAATAGATTGGTATGGACATCATCTGCTTTTCTTCGTCGTCTGTCGAAATCTTACCTGAGAAAAAAAAACAGAGTATAACATGTTTCTTCTTAACTACATACTTTTTTAATAAAAAATCTCAGTTAATTTACTATGTTCTAAGCCACGTAAGCTAACGAAACGTTTCCAACTAGAAATATAAGAAGTTGAGCGGGAAAATGAACGAGCGGACATTCGTAACGATGAAAAACGTTTCTAATATTTCATTGGCTAGAAATAGTCCGGGAAATAAGTCAGGTGTGCTTAGAGAAAGGGGCTAGAAATAAGTCAATGGAGCCAATAAGTAAACCGTGTGTTCACGACAGTAACGTATGAGACTTTGTTAAAAGTAGAATTGCTGCCGGTTTATCTTAGAACTTTTAAGTTACTTATATTTCGGTCGGGTCAGTTGAACCACGATATACACATTGCCAAAATTATTGCATATATCGTTTAAAAATATACGGAAAGGAATTTAAAGAATCTTTTTTTTTATACATAGCTTTAATAATCTGTATTAAACATTTTTTTGTTAAAATGGATATGGTAAACAATGTTTATCGTTCACACCCAATATTATTACAAAATCTTGCACATTTCGATTTGTGGTCTCTTGGGTTTCAGAAGAAATTTGGCCATTGTTTTGGCCTTAAAATGCCTAGAAACATTATTTCAAAGTTTAATAGAGTCAGAATAGGAACACTGTCTGAACAGGGCTATCGGCAAGTTGTAATAGCTGAAATTGTAGGAGTGCGTAGGAAAGCGATGTTTCGCGAATATTAAAAAAATTCGGAGATAAACGAGGTTACAGGCCGGCCTGGAAGAGGTAGAAAGAGGCTTACTACTGCTGTGCAAGATCGTCAAATATCCCTAATTGCACGACGCAATCCCCTGCTTTCTAGTACTGCTATTAGAAATAAGTTAGCTCGCTTTGAAGGAGTAAATGTTTCAAGAAAGACCATAAAAAGAAGACTCCATGACAGAGGATTACATTTAAGGAGGCCTCTACGTGTTCCGAAGCTTAATTTACAACACAAAATTACGCGACTACAATGGGCTGAGGAGATGAGAGCAAGTGGACCTAATTGGAATTTCGTCATGTTTAGTGATGAAACAAGAATAGGCCTAGTGTTAGACTCTTTAGTAGCGACGAACTTTGATCTGGAGAGCATCTGGAAGACGAGCACGCTTGAACGCAGCTCAACCCCGTGCCCCGTTTCAAGGGGGAAACATTATTGTATGGGCAGGTATAATGCACGGAGCTCGAACTCCTCTTGTTTAAATTGATCGCACAATGACAGGTGCCTCCTATCTTAGAGACGTTTTAGAGCCTATTGTGCGTCCATTTCGAGGGGCAGTGGGGGATGAATTTGTTTACATGGATGATAATGCTCCTCCCCATCGTACTTTAGAGGTTCGCGAATTTTGTGAGGAAGAGGGTATAAGGGAAAACTGTGGTGGCCACCGATGTCTCCAGATATGAATGTGATCGAGCATGCTTGGGACATGCTAAAACGCCATATTGCCAAAAGGAAGATCCCCCCGTGAATGAATTGAAAATTGCTGCGCGCGAAACATGGGAAGCAATTCCTCAACATCTTCTGGACAACTTAATTGAGAGCATGCCACGTTGTTTCACAGCTTGCATTGAGGCTCGAGCAGGCAATACAGACTATTACACTGAAAAAATGGATCTCTCAGTCGAAATGAATATGACTTTGACCCAAAAGATTGGCTCTTTTCAATAGGGCCAAGAACGACGTTTCTTTGCCCAAAACATTAACTATCTTTTCATAAGCTTTAAAAAATTACTTTAGAGAATAGAAGAATCTATCTGTCCAAAGTATTTCACTCTTGACTCAAAATGAATATGCAAAGAAGTTCTTGCAACAAGAACAATAGTCTCTTTGATTCATGCAAAAATTCTTGATTGAAAAGGGACATTTCTTGATTAAAGAGACACTTTTCTTAAACCAATAGCGAATACTATTCACTCAACTAAAATTTATTTTGATCTAAGAGAAGTCTATACATCATATACAGGCATATTACGAGGTATATTATATTTTTTGATAAATTTACGTTTTCCTGGTCTGTAGTAAGTAAAGTGATATTATTTTCCTCGATAGTAGTTATTTCTGCTTCTTCACTTCTTGGTATTTTTTGGGCTGGTTCATCACTCTACAAATTACAAAAAATCTAACATCACGATTAATCAAAGTAAAGCAAACAAATTATTAAAATTATAAGCTTTGGTCACATTTTGAATTTTTTAATACGACGCGACGCGACGGCTTGAAATTCTAAAATTTTTGTAATTATTTGCATAAAAAAATCGATACCTATATTCTTATTCTATCTATAGTCACGCATTCATTATCTAAACAGGTGCATTAGGTAAATGTCTCTTACCTTCAAATATAGCAAATAAATGCTCTAATTTCCATTTTTGTGCGGAAATTCTATTATCAGGAAATAATACGTTTAGTTAAACAGGTACGCTGCCAGGCAAGTTCTATCGGCGGGTCTTTGCAAGAGTTGAAATCTAAAAATACAAAAATACGTTTACATCTTAGTTGTATTTACGAATAAAGTATTTGTGTGTAATTTCTGACTTACCAGTTAACTGAATAATCGCATTATATACACCCAAATGGTAATTTAATATTGTAAAAAAGCAAAATTGTTTTAAATCACTTGCCAGGACCATAAAGCCAAGACAGCCCGGCCAGCTTCTTTGTTGACAAAATGGCCGCGGTATCATGATTTAAGCAATGTGAGTGACAAAGAAAGTCAATGCCTGGCAGATGTTGCTTTCTTTGTCGTTGGTCCTGGCACGTTTAAATTTGACTGTTGCCTGTTTTCCCATACAAGTGACACCCCCGTGTAGTAGAAGGAAAAAAGTAGTTGCACTCTCCCAAATATTTTCTGTCGGTTTTTACAATCTGTCGAATATTGGCAGATTGCAGAGCGTTTCAGTTGAGTTCCGTCCGTCGACCTGCGAGGTTCGAGCGTTGCGTCCCAGCACAGAGACGGATTGACAAAAAACGAGTGCCTTACTGTGTGCTACTATTGATTGTAGTAATAGTTAAAAAAATGAGTCATTTGTAATCATGTTTGTATCAGGTTAATTTTCTCACGACTGATTACTACTTAATAATTAGATATTATTTTCATTTAAACCTCAATTTTTTATCGATTTTACTTTTGACAACCATCCCTTGCTTGCTGTTTAATGAACTACAAGCAAATAAACTGGAAATCCCGGTTCCTTAGAGGCATAGTACCGAAATTACCGGTTCCGAAAAGCAGTTCGGGTTCCGGAAACGTTATAACGTACCATAACCGTGAATCGCCCTATACAGGGTGAGTCTTAAATAAGTGAAAATATCTTAAGGGGTAGTGTAAACTAAAAAAAATCTGGAAATTTTTAGTCTTTAATTAAAAAAACATAATTTATTGGTAATACTTGGGTTCAGAACCGGAAATTCCTGATACTTTTGAGATATCAAAGAACCGGGACTCGAAATTATTTATTCCCGGTTCTCTCGGTACTTTCGGGACTCTGTAAAAATAAATAAAAAATTATTCTTTTATTACGTGAGAAAGTAGTAATGCTATTTCTCATTGTTCTTGATTCTTTTCTCTTTTGAAATTTCTGTAATGTTTATTAGCAATTATTGATTGTAAGAATGAATGTATTGAATTAAGTTTAAATATATTATTTTATTATTTAGTACAATGTGTTGTTCAATATATTAGTTGTCCAATAAAAATCACCTAACCAATATATTACTACAAAACAAACACATTAATGTTGAAATTAAACTTGTTTTAAATTAAAAAAAAGTTGTAGAAAATCTTTGAAATAGATAATAATATAAAACTATGTCATTATATATTTTCTCCGCATTTCTTCCCATCAGATTTTCAGATACAGAAGAATTTTTACTTACACGAAATGTGAAAATATTCTGTTTTTAAGCAAATGTTTACTAGATGATCAATTTTTTATTTTATTGTGAACTATTTTCCTAAATACATCTCTGTGAAACTATGGCGAGTGTCACGACTATACTTTACCTAGTTATAGACGACGACTATACAACTACGTCAGTGGTCACGGGACGCGAGAACAAGGTCATATAAAGTGGCAGAAAAAGAACAAAGGATTTGACAAGGAGTAAGGCTACTAGTTTCCTTATACTATGATTATAGCTTTATCACTATGATTTGTTGAAAAGCGGTTAAAAATTACGGTTACATAACGAGAACTTTCCCTTTTTTTATAGATAACCGGTGGTCTTCGGTGCAGCCACCCTTATTATGGCAAATATTCTATTGTTTTTTTTTCTTTTTGCAGGTCGCAGCCACGACAAATCGTACGTGCTGTTCCGTCTGGGCAAGAAGTCCTCCGCGGGGGTGAAGGCCTTCGCAGAGACGGGCCGCAGCGACCTGCTGGAACAGATGGGGCAGGGCGGAGGTGGCGTGTACGACGAGTTCAACGCGCCCCCCATACCCGCGGGGGTGGGGAGGACGGAGGCGGAGTTCTTCGTCGACGGCAATCATTCAAGGGTAGGTTTTGATCATTTTCTGTTTTTGATTTTAAATATTTATTGCGACATAATACACTCACCGGCAAAAAAAAACGGCCACTAAAAACTAGTCTCAATTTCAAAGTTGGATTTCTCGCGAACCACTCATTAGATTTTGATGATTTTTTTTTAAATTGTAACCTAGTTCCTTCTTAACGGATGCTACGTCCGAAATTTTTATCCGAATTTATTTTGAGCATATACAGGGCACAACAATAAGACGAAATTTTTTGCCCGAACTTTGTAACATCCTGTAGGGTGCAGCAACTGTCGTAGCTATTGCTAATTCAAATCACATTGTAGCCTCATCTTTTGTGAACATTTTGTTTTTTTAATCACGACATTATCTCTGTTTGTATTGGAGATACGCTGCTTTAAAACGAACGTCTCGGAGAAATGCTTCGCAGGCAAAACCACGATTCATCCGTGAAAAGGACTTTAGTCCATTGCTCAATGTCCCAATTCAACGCGCAAACTGAAGAGGTGCCCGACGATATCTTGCAAGTAGCTGAGGTCCTGTGGCAGAGTTATCTTTTAGTCTTGTAGCAGATGTTGATTCTGAAACGCTGTAATTCTCCGATTTCGTAAAGTATTCAGGACAATACAGCGGTCGTCAATGGGCTCTTTCACAAAAAATAAAATACCCAATTCAAGGACAAAATCTGAAATAGACGACTATTTTCAGTATATTTATCCAAAAAAAAATAGTTCCATGATAAGGAATAATTTTTTTATAGGCCCTCAAAATTGCTTTAATTTGAAATAATTTTAAAGCGCTAATTGATGACGTATGAAAAATACGCTCAATCATATTGCAGAACCGTGCTCGTGCACCAGCCAACAACTGGCAACATTGCGATTTGATTTGACCAGCACCACCTCAGCTCAAGGCCAATCAACATGATATGGACAAGGCTAATATGGCGGCGAAAGCAGCGCATTATTAAATTGTTTACCTTTAAACTGAAAAGCCGGTAGTGGTTTCTCGTTCCGATTGCATACCAGAAATAATTAATTATCTCTAGTTTGTTGTGCTTCTGCAACACGTTTGTTTAGTTCTTAGTGTTCAGTGCATGGTGTGATCAGAAAATTGTGATAAAATAACAGTGTAATAAAAATTGAAACCAGACATTCCACAAGGGTACTTCAAACTTTTGTGCTTGTCGTACTCCTCTATTATTAATTATTTTAAGGTAAGAACTAGAAGTATTTATCAAGATATTACACCTAAATGAGTAAAAAGCCTTCACCGCCAGTCTGCATAGTACTTTATAATGGTTACTTACAATAATCAAAAGATAGGTATATATAATAAAGGGTAGGTATTAACATTTTATTGTAGCATACCTTTAATATGCTCTGTTCCAAATTATCACGAGAACTATAGAGGGGATCCCAAGGTTTCTACTTTTATATTCCCCAAAAATGACGAGCTTTGTAAAAAATGGTTGACAGCTATTAAAAGAGATAATTTCACTCCTACTAATAGTTCTCGGGTAAGAAGTGCATTAAATATGCCTCAAAAAGGCCAAAGGCCAAAGCTTCTGTTACTCTAGTGAGGATGTAGTTATGGCTACTGCTTACACTTACCTTACAAGATATTGACAACATTCACATTTGAAAATATAAATGGCCTGGATGTAAGTCTTTTTTTAGGTCACAATTGCCCCTCACATACGTCAGAATTTATCATTAAATCCATCTTGTTCAGATTTTATTGAAGATATTTTAAGAACAATATTTTATTGAAGAACTATGCAAAACAAAGGAATGACGTTATAAAAAGGTATTTACTTTTTCTATATAAAATCTAGTTTAAATTTATTCCCATTTGTATAATGCTGCAAAGCATAGGAAAAATATTCCATATTGTTTGACCCCAGTCAGTGTAGTTTACACCAAGAGCATTTACCAAGGCTTTTACTAAGACAAGTAACTTCCTATACTGTCCATAATAGTATATATTTATCAAACGTGCAGTAAATTCTAAACTATGGTAGGTAAGTGTTTGCAATTGAATATTTAGTTTATATTGCTATTTTCTGTCATATATTTCTGGTTATTTCTTTTTCCGATGATTTTGAACACCCTATATATGCTACCTCAAGTTTGAATATTTACACACTACTTATTTTACCTACTTATTTTCTGAGAAATCAGACCTTTTTATAAAAAGTAACTAACTGATGTTTTCATAAAAGTAATAATAAAAAAAAATCCATACTTATGTGGAGAGCTTTAGACTCCCTGTATATTAAAAAATTAGTGAAATATTATATAATTTAACCCGATATTTGTGTGAAAAATGTGTATTTGGAAATAAAACAGGTTTTAAAATACGCGCTAAATAAAGCACTTCTATCTCCGCCATATTGGAAAAGGTTGAATGGCCTTGTGTGGAGGTGGTGGTGGGTCAGCATGGTGGCCCGCCCGTGTTGCCGCTTTTCAACATGCCAGGTGTGACGTATTAAAAATAAAGTGCGGATTTTTATTCTGGGCTTTTTTGTTTTTATTTATTTTCTTAAGAACGACTTCAAATTTTTCGAAAGTGAGATAGCAGAAAATTCTAGATTATTTACACATAAAACTTTCTGCCTGCGAAGCATTTTTCCGAGACGTTCGTTTTAAAGCAGCGTATATCTTCAATACAGAGATAATGCCGTGATTAAAAAAACAAAATGTTTACAAAAGATGAGGCTACAATGTGTTTTGATTTAGCAATAGCTACTACAGCTGCTGCACCCTACAGAGTGTTACAAAGTTCGGGCAAAAAACTTTGTCTTATTGTTGTGCCCTGTATATGCTTAAAATAAATTCGGAATAAAAATTTCTGACGTAACATCCAATTTTACCTAATTTATTATTAAATATTATTACTATTAGTTATTATTACTGTTAGTCCAACCTACAGCAATATAAAATAAAAAATAATGGTATTTAAGATAATTACAAAAAATCTAATTTTAAAAAGTTTTAACATCCTCTAACTATAAAATTATGCATTTCCATACCCATGTTTATAGGAACTTTTTTCATATTTTTTGATGAGGAATCGATGACTACTTATTTAAAACTTTCGCAAGTTAATAATATTAAGAATTTTTACGGTTTCTATTCGACTTAGATCAAGGCAAATTATGAAAATTTCGTTTATCTCATCAAGGAGGCCGAAATCGACAAAATATCAAGAGACAATTTTTAATCGGCATTAAATTGCTTACACTATTTCGCTGACGAGAGAAAAAAAGTCAGGGGCGTACATGCTTTTTTAGCAAAATATTCCAGTGATAACCCATATGCACGTCCGTGGTTAATGTGTCGAAATTTTTTGGCTTTAAAAAATGTCGCATATATAGTAACTTTTACTCTCAAAATTTAATTCGAAACGCTAAAAGTACTTGGAAGAAAATTATAATAAATCGAAAAAATATTAAGACTTTGACACCGGCCCGTAGCTACGAAACAAAGCAGAATCGGACCTATGTTGATATGGAAAATAAATCTTATTTTTACGTGATGAATCTCCCCACGAGAGATGGTACATGTTTTTTGAAACATCCTGTATATTGGTGTTCTAATGGAAAATTAGATTCATAAAAATTCGAGGCATTAAATCGCGCTCTCCGTGAAATTACATCTTATTATTTCATTACGTACCATTAAACGGTGTAATAAAACCTTTATTAAGGTTTTTATTGCAGCAGTAAAATATGGCTCAGCAGAATCTATCTAATAAAAACTTATTCAGTTTAATAAACTTAATTTTCGCCTTTATATCAAATTAAATATGCTCTGTATGATTAACCCTTATATGAAATATCTGTATTGTTCTGACAGAATGGCAGGGATGTTCAATGTTTTATGCTCTATTTTTAGAGCTATTATAGTTAGTAACAAAACATTTTTTGTTGAATATTATCCCTTTTCACAGTTAAACTATTTTTGTTCTTCAATTCTAGTTATTTGCTTCGCCATGTTGAACCAAATGCCAAAATTATAATCGCCACGTTGCCAAAAGTATAACCTATAATTTGGCAAGACTTTGACAAGCCTCAAAAATCTAAAGGCGAGTTCATACACATCGGCGTCCGTTTGTCGTTCATCGTTCCATCAAACCAATAAAATTCAAATATGATCTGTCATTTTTGACATATGGCAAAAATCGAGTTATTCGGATCACTTTCCGATCGCATTGACTCGTTTTGAGATCACTTTTCGAACGTCTGGATTAGTAATCCTCTTAATCCGATCAATCAGATCACAGTTTCCGAAAACCCCTATAGTAAAATAAATAGATTGGTATGGACATCATCTGCTTTTCTTCTGTCACCGTCTGTCGAAATCTTACCTGAGAAAAAAACATAGTATAACATGTTTCTTCTTAACTGCATACTTTTTAATAAAAAATCCCAGATAATTTACTATGTTCCAAGCCACGTAAGCTAACGAAACGTTTCCAACTAGAAATGTAAGAAGTTGAGCGGGAAAACGAACGAGCGGACATTCGTAACGATGAAAAACGTTTCTAATATTTCATTGGCTAGAAATAGTCCGGGAAATAAGTCAGGTGTGCTTAGAGAAAGGGGCCAGAAATAAGTCAATGGAGCTAATAAGTAAACCGTGTGTTCGCGACAGTAACATATGAGACTTTGTTAAAAGTAGAATTGCTGCCGGTTTGCCTTACAACTTTTAAGTTACTTATATTTCGGTCGGGTCAGTTGAACCACGATATACACATTGCCAAAATTATTGCATATATCGCTTAAAAATATACGGAAAGGAATTTAAAGAATTTTTTTTTATACATAGCTTTGATATTCTGTAATAAACATTTTTTTGTTAAAATGGATATGGTAAACAATGTTTATCGTTCGGACTCAGTTATTATTACAAATTCTTGCACATTTCGGTTTGTGGTCTCTTGGGTTTCCGAAGAAATTTGACCATTGTTTTGGCCTTAAAATGCCTAGAAACATTATTTCAAAAAGTTTAATAGAGTCAGAATAGGAACACTGTCTCAACAAGGCTACCGGCAAGTTGCAATAGCTGAAATTGTAGGAGTTAACCAAAGCGATGTTTCGCGAATATTAAAAAAATTCAGAGAGATAAACGAGGTTACAGATCGGCCTGGAAGAGGTAGAAAGTGAGTTACTACTGCTGTGCAAGATCGTCAAATATCCCTAATTGCACGACGCAATCCCCTGCTTTCTAGTACTGCTATTAGAAATAAGTTAGCTCGCCTTCAAGGAGTAAATGTTTAAAGAAAGACCATAAAAAGAAGACTCCATCATGATAGAGGATTACATTTAAGGAGGCCTCTACGTGTTCCGAAGCTTAATTTACAGCACAAAATTACGCGACTACAATGGGCTGAGGAGATGAGAGCAAATGGACCTAATGGGAATTTCGTCAGTTTAGTGATGAAACAAGAATAGACTAGTGTCAGACTCGCGACGAACTTTGATCTGGAGAGCATCTGGAAGACGAGCACGCTTGAATTAAGCTCAACCCCGTGTCCCGTTTCAAGGGGGAAGCATTATGGTATGAGCAGGTATAATGCACGGAGCTCGAACTCCTCTTGTTTTAATTGATCGCACAATGACAGGTGCCTCCTATCTTAGAGACGTTTTAGATTATACTATTTTGCGTCCATTTCGAGGGGCAGTGGGGGATGAATTTGTTTACATGGACGATAATGCTCCTCCCCATCGCACTTTAGCGGTTCGCGAATTTTGTCAGGAAGGGAAAACTGTGGTGCCACCGATGTCTCCAGATATGAATGTGATCGAGCATGCTTGGGACATGCCAAAACGCCATATAGCCAAAAGGAAGGATCCCCCCTTACCTTAAATGAATTGAAAATTGCTGCGCGCGAAACATGGGAAGCAATTCCTCAACATCTTCTGGACGATTAGTTGTGAGGAATAATTAAAATTGTTTTTAATATTTTCTGTTTAAAATGAAATTTGTTTTTGTTAATTTTCACTCACTATGAAATAGAACTATAATAACAGCCTAGTTGCACATAGATTTTTAATTTTATATTAGTCGTGTAGTAAGTCAATATGTCCAAAAATATGAAAAGAATCATAATATTAGGTCCAAAATAAAAATATCGTTATATGTGTGACAAATCTTTTCAGATTCATCATTTTTTGTTATGGGTAGCGTGACTATTTTATAATTATACAAAAACAATTAAGTTGAGCGGAAGGCAAACTTGGATAAAAAGTACACCGACTCTTTGGGGCGTATGCTTAATGCTTTGTCTTGATGATATTAGTTAAACAAATCTACTATAACTTACTTTAATTGCGGCCCAACCTCTGCCCGAAAATCTGTAGCTCTTTTCTCGAGTCTTTTCTGGACTGCTCTGGAGATATTCTGCTCGTTCATAATGATCTTATTTATATATTTTTAAAACACTTGGTTATTTTTATTATAGAAACAAAACGGCCGAGTTTGTAGGAAAACATTTAAATTTAATATTAAAAAAAAGAACAAATAAAAAAATATATATGATCGAAATTACTTGTTACTACTAAACATGGAAAAGAGATGGAAAAATACAAGAAAATTGTCTGGTGTCTGCTTTATTGAGACACATTATGGCAATTATTTAATAACTTGCACCTTTCGTTACTATATCAACACATTAAAATAATTTTTGAGAAGAAAATTTAAACAGAAATTAAAAACATTTGACAAAAGGACTTAAAAAAATAACTATTAGCAGACATCAGACTTAAAAACTACAGGGGTCACATCGTGAATTTTACCGAGTTTCGAGAACCCGAGGGAGAACCGTCTCTTTTAGAAACTTAAACCGAACTAAATTTTCTGAAAAAAAACTGCCCCGAGGTTTCAACATTACAGAGTTGAAGGGTGGTGCATTCGGTACTTAGCCAATAGGATCATCCCTAAAGGTACTGTTCTTTGTTTGATTGGTCAGCTTGACACCGCCCTTCAAACCAAGTTGGTTCGACCCGAGGTTCGACCTCCCGTTGTTAGATGGCAGTACTATGACCATTTTACGTATTTAATTCTCGTTTGGCGCCATTTACATCTAGGTACGTGATTTTCTAAAGTTCACAGATTCTTTACAAACATCCGGCGATAGTTAAACATGTTATCAAGGGTGGTTATTGGTTTTACAACGTCTCAGCGTTTTTATCTAAGGTCTATCTTTACCATTTTTCTGTTTACTTCTAAGTTCTACAGTTTATTTGGTTTGTCCTTCTATAAGTTTGGGAATTTAAAAATATTCACGTTTGAAAGATGTTTGTTTTATTACTTCCTGTTAAAAAGATCCTCTCCCGAAACTAACAACCGAAAACATCGACTTGAACGTAATAATATCTGTTAAATAAGTAAATAATCTGTTAATAATATAAATAATAATATAAAGGAAAGAATCTGTTATATATGCAATAATGTTGACCATGTGTGTATAGAAAAAAAACCACCGGTCAAATCCTCATTATGAATAAAAATGCCGAACGCTTATTTTGCCATTTTTTCGGACTAGTGAAATTGACTCTTAAGACCTCCACAAAACAAATGGAAATCCTTCAGCTATTATAATTGTCATCGAGATCCAGTACTAATCAAGTATTAATGTTTATTACAGGTATCTCTCATGTCGAGGATCGTGCCCTCTCCCGATTGGTTTATCGGCATTGACAGTTTTGATCTGTGCGTCAATGGGAATTGGCTGGACAGCATCACCATCGAGGTAAGCCCGTCATTAGATATATACTATGCGCCGCATAGATCGCTTCATGTCAGCTGGTAATTGAAAGACCGGGATTCGACATATCTGACTTCGGTAGAAAATTAGATATTATTTCGATAATGGACTACACTATTAGGGTATATTATAGTTAATTATACAGGGTCCGGCAATAGTGCATTGGGCATCTGTAGCTTCTAGAATAAAAAACTAAAAACGGAATTTTGTTCAAGTGCAAACCTAAAGTATGTACCGGGTGTCCCACTAAGAATAGCTCTCGGCTGTATCTCGGAAAGTATTAGCCGTAGGGCCTACGGAAAAAAAAATAACTAAAGGGGCTATGAGAAATTGCTGGAAATTATTTTCAAGTTTGTAAAACGGGCGCTAGAGGGCGCAACTGCTATAGAAAATAGGAAAATAGAATTTTTACAGAATTTTGCCTAGATAATGGGTACTATAAATAATAGCTTCACATCTTCAGTAAATTTTGATTTTTTTTGTTAGTACCATTTTCCCCTATCTGCTAAAATAAAGTAGTGGGGGAAGGAAGTATCTATCTTTATTTAAATGTTAATAACTCCGGACTGGGGGGATTATCAGAATCCAACAAACGAGGGCTCGTTTAAAAGAGCATTTCTAACTCTATATTATACCATATATTAATATTAAGGTTTTGAACGTAGACGCTATTGGGCGCTTTCTCACAATTTAACAAACCGAGCGCGTTTTTTCAAAAAAATTAAATACGATAGTATATGTAATTTTAGCCGATAGTAAAGAGTAGTAAAAGCATAAAAAGTCAGCGAAAACCGCATCTTGATATTTTCTTTCAAACCGAAGATATTAGCAAAATTTTAATAAATACCAAAAAATAAGCCCTTAATTACCTTATTTTTACAACACGGTATCAGTAGCCTTCTTGATTATGCCCATTCTAATAAAAAAATAAGACAGAAACAGTTAGTTTATTTTAAAATCGACGAAATACCAGAATACCAGATGTATTAATATCTAATAATTAATATATTAATAACAATGAACAAGAAACGATGATTCAGCGAAGTCATGGTAGGCTTTGGAAAAAAATTGCTTTTGACGTAATAGTATAAACGTCAAATTGTTATTAGATCAACATTTTGATAGTCTTTTATCTTTTGATTGCTTTTTGAAAATGTCAACAACTTCGCAACGACTTCAAATAATAAAGGCATTTTTAAAAAGCAATTAAAAGATAAAAAACGCTGCTAAGACTATATTTATTAATGTCTCTGAAATTATCGAAATACATTTACTCATATCTTAGGATAATGTAATATAGGATAATGTTATCTGAACGAAAGCTAAAAATACATTAATGTACAGGGTGTTTCATTTAAAAAAAATCATCCCCATCCACTCACGCTTTTTTAAGCCACCCTATAGAAGTTAAAATATTTTTCTAAATACATCCTCGTACATATCTTAGGTTTGCACTTAAACAAAAGCATCAACATTTTTTATTTTAGGAGCTACAGATGCCCAATGCACTAATGCAGGACTCTCTGTGTTTTTTAATGATCCTGTATATTAAGATAACAAATTATATCATTACTATGAATAGCGGACCAAAAATAAAAAGTAAATAATACACAAGAACAAAATTAACCTAAAACTTCTTGTATAAATAAACTCTGTCATGTCATAATGTATGTGATGGATACATACTGATGACACACTACTCTGTACACTACGTACAAATTTATTACCTGTAAATTAGCGATATTCAATGTTACTATCGCATGTCTACCGTTGGGATATATGCATATCAATTAAAGCAATTAATTCCTAATGCATTAATAGTGCATTAATGTAATTGACAACTCCTCTAATATTTTATAAAATCGATAAAGTCCTTACCTGGCTTTATTTTGCAGTATAATTTATTTAATTTTTATACAAAAATGTTTTTTATAATAAAGGAATTTGATGAATTATTAAACTTGCCTTAAATTACTTACTCTTAGATATTAGATACCTTGAAACATTAATAAATTATTTTTATTTCATCTTTCTGAATAATTTATTCTAAATTAAAAATAAATTGTTTGATAAAAATGTCTCTTTAATAAAATTAATTCATCTGATTGAAAAGTATCTAGAACCACAAAGGAGACGAATATGCAGATAAAATATGGCCAAACAAGGCTTACTACCCTACTGCGGTGCTGCAACAGTAATAAAAAAAATGTCCACAAAATATAAACAGTTTATAGAATAACATTCGTCAAAAGTTATGACAGACCTGCTAAACAAATACAGGAAAATCGCCAAAATAGTAGTTGACGTATTAACAGTTCATTGCTAGGTCAATTGGCATGTAAAGCTGGTAGGATCATCAGACGAAGTCATGTGTAGATTCTGCTGATCAGAAAAATTATTGCAAAATAGATTCTATGTGAATGATTCTATTAATACACTTTTTGAAAAAGATTGGTAAATGTAATCTAGAGATTAAGGAAAGGACTAGAATAAATATGTAAAAATCGCTGTAGATTTTTACAAAATTTATCTAAAATATGTATATAAAATGTATAAGAAGCTTTACGCACCCCTAAACCTTAGAAAAAACTTTGATATAAATATACACCAGAGTTTCCATTATTAATTAGTTTTAATAAAACTTTTCCGTTGCAGGTGGATCCCATCGACGCTGGTACAGACAACGGATTTACCTTCACAGCACCTAACTGGCCCACAGATCCCCAAGGAGAAGCGTACAGGATAACAGCTCATTATCCTGCCCATCCAGCGGGATCCTTCTTTTATCCTTATATAAAACGATTGCCACCCATAGCTACCTTTCAGTTTATCAAAGTAAGTTGGCTTAGATTATTTTTTACCATCCATTTTGATTCTTATCTCTGCACAGAATTGCACCTTTAGGATGTTAAAAGACAACAAAGGCTATTTTTATTATTACAAAAATCAATGATGAGACTATGGAAAATATGTCTTGTATAATTATTGTCTTTGGTCGTATTTAAGTTTTTATATCGAAGTAATTGTATTATTTCATTTACTAAGTTTTGTGTTGCAATTATAAAAATCATACTACTTTATCCAGTGAATAGAGTATCTAAAAATTTATATTTTTCCATACCAACTGTTAAAATTGCCTTAGATCTATCAAAAATAGTAGATAAAATAGTACTTTAACCGCAATGACACTTTAACAGCGAGGATAGGTTAAAAACTTTATTTCTTCTCGCACGTTTTTTAATTGCTTCCATTTTTGAAAATTTTTGTATTCCTTTTCACAAGTTATTCGGGATTTAAATAGAAGTAGTTTGGATATGGCGTTTGTCGCCTCAGCCTGAATATCTGTTGGTAATTTACTTATTTCGTTTTGAGCCATTTCTGCCTCCAATTCAGTCAGCAATCGACACGAAAGAGAATTAAAATATATTGACTCAAAACTGACAACTAAAGAGACAGCTTTATTTATTTGTCAAATTACATGATACAAAGAAAACAAGGTATGATATTGCGCAGGTTTGGTCACTACGTCACAGGTGCTAACTGCACCATTGGTCGGCAAGCTCCTTGCGCCAATTTCAAATCGTCAAAATGATGACACATAATAATGTGAAAATTGCTTTTCAAATGTCAAGCTCAATGATTTGACATAACTTTTGGGGTTATGTCCTAATTCTTCCCTATTTTACGTCTTTTTTTATTAGTGGCAATTGAACAATATGGATATTTTTTTTTGTATGGTGTATGACGTCACAGGTGGTATGCGCAAACTGAACGAAATTGGAGCCGCTATCGATCATACTTTGTTTTCTTTGTATCATGGCCAAATTACATAGAAACCAACGCCAACCCAGCACTATATTTTTTCTACTCGTAATAAATTCCTTGCAATAATAATTTCTGAAATTTTTTTTAAAACGTAACTTGCTATGGAAAAAATATTGTTTTATACACGACGATAAAATTGCATTATCGTCTCCCGAATTAATCCACTCGCGATTTCATCGCTCGTGAATTAATCTTTTCGGTCGACGATAAAATACCATTTTATCGTTACTATCGTATAAAAAATAACTATAAATCTATTAAATTATATTATACCAATTTTTACCTATCTCTTCAAGTTTTCGTAGAAAATGTCTCTAATCTTCTTATAACTTAGACCTTATTTGTCAATATAACCATGGACTGTGAGGACATTTTAGTTTTTTTAACAAGTAAAAAATTTACAAGATGTACAGATGCTAGTTGTTACTTTTTACCACACTGTCTTATACACATACAGAAAATTCAGTATTTGGAGTAACTACAAGTCAACACAAATAGCCAATTAATGTTTGAGCTCGAATAATGGATGATGTTAATTGATCCTCTTTTAAACATATTTAAATAAAAATAAGAAGAGGACACTCAACCAACTTCATTACTATTTTTTATATAAATTAAAAAATATAATAAATATTTTTTTTCCCAGATTAAAGAATACGAACTCTCGGAAGTATTCCACCATTCCGAAGACGACCGAAGGTACGACGTTCTGAAAATGGAGAATCTTGCTCCAAGCAATCTAAACTCGTTGGACAATAACGACATTGAAACTGCCATAGAAGAAGAGAGACAAGAACAAGAGCCCCATCAGAAACAAAAAGTTAGACCTCGTAATAGACAGAATACGAACTATTATGGTGATTACAAGAGATACACTCTGTCAACGCCTCAAAGTACCAGCATGTATACTGACGATAACAGCTTGAGTAATACCATGTAAGTTCTTGTTGATTAAGAAGTGCAATAGATTAGAGTAGATTTTTCGTGTTGGTTAGGGGCCTGTTCCACTGCGACCTTTTCAGATCTATTGTCGTCCTCTTCTGATCCCTTAGGTTACATTCTCCAATCCTATCTTTCTCAAAAAGTCTAGAAACTTGGAGGCTGAGCCCTTCATATAGCTCTTGTCATTGGTCTATCATTGCATAAGCTACAAAGGACCGCCATCACATTTGCCAGGCTGTCACAACGACATAAAATGTTTTTTTTTGTTCAGATTGACAGAACTTGCACCTTAGTCCGTCAATTCCATCAACTTTAGATGACTATTCAGTCCTATTTGTCCAACTATTATAGCTTTGACTGTATTTCTATCTTTGCTTTTCAGGTCTACCGTGAATTTGGGAGAATGCTCTGCTATGAACTTTTTCGCTAGTCTCTGCCCTGGTGAATTTTCAAAAAAACCACCGGTTCTCCATAAACGTCTAACGTCATAACATCTAAAGCTCCATTCAGAAACTCGCAATTAGTGGAATAAATTAGTGGTTTCAATTAGTGTAGAAGTTTTCCTCCGATATGAACGTAAGTGGAAAAAGTTACCAAACTTTTAACTTTTCCACTAATTATATGGTAATCTCGCAAAACAATTTCCGATGCACGTGACCAACTTTGAGTGACAAGCGATGGCAACAGCGCTGCCAGATTGTAATATATATATATATATATATATATATATATATATATATATATATATATATATATATATATATATATATATATATATATATTATATAAAATAAAAACTCTAAAATTTACTTCTTAAAACAACTGCTTAAAAGTGCAAAAATATGAAAATAGGCAAAAAAATGAGAATTACTTGCAAGGATTCAACAACAACACGATATTATACAAAATAATGACTGACACTAGGATAATAGTCAAATAATAAAGGACAACATTGCTGAACACGGCGCAATGTGACCAACATAGCTATAAAAAATTCGGTTTAAAGTAATTTTTGCAGCTTTAATCTAAGTAAAATATCTGTTACAATCATCTGCTCTATAAAGTAAAATGAAAAGCTGCTCCGTATCTTAAATTATACAACAAATTTAAACATTTTTGCCAAAATTTCATTTAGTCAGGTTCATAGACTTTAGGGTCAATGTCGATGTGATTGATGACGTGCATCGGAAAATGTTTTGCAATTACAATACTTCCAAACTTGCGAGGAATGTCATTTTGGCCTTTTATTATCATCTGTCAAGAGAAGATATGGTGAAAAATCAAAAGTTTATTGTTTACTTTGAATAAGAAGACTAAGGAAGGAGCATAATGCTATCCATGTATTCATGCATGGTGGGCGGAAAAAGCACTCTAGCGTGGGGATCCTTGACAGTTCTATTTGACGATTCATTTGACACATTTGAATTTGATTTGAAATTTTGTGGATTTGTCAGTCTTTACGGAGCTTATTTTATGTTATCTATTATTTATTCTACTACTGATAGTTGTATAAAGGTAGTAAATCTAGATGGAAATTGTGGCAGAACTTAAAAAAGACTCTAAAATAGTTGGTTGTGTAGCGTGCTGTAGATCTCAGCCAAAATCGAGTGAAATAATGGAACAACTTTTCGCTAGTAAGTGACTATATAATATACATACGTGTAGTAAACCTATCATTTATGAAATTCACTTAAATTAACTAAATTATAGATTTTTCTTGCATTTTAGCTTTTATTTATTACTTGTCAAAGATTAAATGTCAAAGAATTTAGATACGTTAATTTGACTTACCTGCTTCAGTAGCGTATCGGATGTTTGTGTTAATAAATACTTATTATAACTTATCTATTTTTATTAGAATTATATATTTTTATAACAATTTTAATAACTACCAACATTTATTCACAACGTAAAATAAAACAACAGATTATTGAGTCTACCCCACGTCTACCCTACATCATAGTTTTACATTTTTTAAATAAAATTAGAACTACACTGATAAACCGGAATTTAAATCGGCCATATTTGAGGCCCATCGCGGTGTACCTAAGATTTTTGATATGCTCCTTCCTTAGTCTTCTTATTGAAAGGGTCTACCCCACGTCTACCCTACATTATAGTTTTACATTTTTTAAATAAAATTAGAACGGCACTGATAAACCGGAATTTAAGTCGGCCATATTTGAGGCCCATCGCGGTGGACCTAAGATTTTTGATATGCTCCTTCCTTAGTCTTCTTATTCAAAGATTGTTTCATAAGCTAAATATTAAGCTTTCTCTATGGATACCTACAACTGATTACTGCAAGCTGTTGCTAAGATATTCTATTAATTTTAATTATGTTTTTTAGACGTTGTGAATAATCGTATACAGTACAAAAGTATAAAGTGTAATTGGAACTACTAATTTATTCCACTATGCGAGGTTCTGAAACTTAACTTAACGTCTAACGTTTACACGTCGATGTACGAATACGAATATCCCTATACATGCAATATAGTGTCTTTTGTCAAAACATGTATTGCGATCAACGATATGCCCAACTACTGTTGTCCTAAACCATCCTCTATAGAAGATCATATAACCTCATATTAGAAACAAGCTCATATTTACGATCTTAATACTATACCGCACAATTATGAATAAATGTGTCTAAGCTGGTCATAAAATACACACCGCAACTTTAATGCTCACCCCTGTATCTCTCCTATACTAAGTGCAACCAAGTTAAGACCATAAATTATTTCGTTTTAAAGCCACAATCTCCAAGCATTACACAGTACGTATATTAACCTTAATTCATGGAGACGCTTAGGCATTAGTTTGCCTAAATTTAATACGTACGGAGCAGATATATTTTGCAGGGAGCAAGCTCCTTCATAAGCCTTTAATAACTGTGCTATCACCAATGCGACTCCATTTTAGTCAACAGGAATTTCAGGGAATGCACCCAAATCTTATTATAAATACTGCTTTAATATTATACCAGGCGTTACAGTAGCCGGTTCAGTGGAACATTTAAATCGAATACAAACTTGAAAATTTTAATTTTCAATAGTAATAGGCTAGCAGGCAGTGGATGTTTTTGTACCTACGTGAATCTTTACTAATATATAAAATCCTTAAGTGACTGACTCACTGATTAATTACGATCCTGCTCAAACAACTCAACGTAAGAAGTTCAATTTTGGCATACAGGTTGATTCTGGGGTATAGAGGTTCGATAAGAAGGGATTTTTCGAAATTCCAGTTCCAAGGGGGTGAAACCACCCCTCAAATATTACAATTTTTTATTTAAAAAACGGTCAAGATTCCGAAAAAACGCTTAAACACGTATATTTTATTTTGTTTTTTTACATATTTTAAGATTTTTTTAAAATGTATACAGAGTGTTTCGAAAAATCTGGTCATTGATTAATCACGATCCTGCTTAAAGGGCTTGATGTAAAAAGCTGATTTTTGGAAGACGGATTGACTTTAATGTAGAGGTTCGATAAGAAGGGATTTTTCGAAGGGGTTGAAACCACCCCTCAAATATTAGAATATTTTTATTTAAAAACCGATATTATAAACACGTATATTTTATTTTGTTGTTTTACATATTTTAAGATTTTTTAAAAATTTATATAGGGTGTTTCATAAAATATGACCATTGAATAATCACGATTCTGCTTAAACTGCTTGACGTGTAAAGCTGATTTTTGGCAAACGGATTGACTGTGGGGTGTAGAGATTCGACAAGGAGGGGTTTCTCGAATTCAAAATTCCAAGAGGGTGAAAACGCCCCTCAAATATTACAATATTTGTTATTTGAAATACGGTTAGTCTTTCGGGAAAACGCTTGGACACGCATAATTTATTTTGCTTTTTTACATATTTTGAAATTTTTTAAAAAATCATACAGGGTGTTCCATAAAGTTGGGTAATTGATTAACCACGATTCTGCTTAAACTGCTTGACGTAATTTGCTTATTTTTGGCAAACGGATTTTTCGAAAGTCAAATTCCAACGAGATGAAACCCCTCAATTATTACCAAGTTATATAATAACATCGCCATATTGTTTTTTCTCATGCTGACATAAATGTGAGAAAATTTTATCCAGTTTGTATGTTAATGGAAATTCTTGCTGTGCTTTATCGTCACCATTACAAGTGATTAATTCGATGTGAAAGAGGTCGCGGGTACACGCTAGTATATAATAGTATGTTCGGATGGTGACGATAATTTGTGAGTCTGCCTAAAAATTTTCAGATGGGTTTACTAAATATATTTAATTTATAGTATCTCTGATAGTTACAAAGTTATTGGCCAATGAAGTTGATAACAAAATTATGCTTTTTTTGGATTCCTGGGGTCTCAACACGTTGAGAAAAGTGTTTTTATCCATAGTCAAATTTCGCCCTAAACCAATACTTTTCTTATCATAAATAATGAAAAATAAAAACATCCAGAAACAAAAATCCACAAACCAAAACCTTAATATAGAGTTTTCAAGAAGCCTGGGCCACCCTGTATTCAAATAGAGTAATAAAAAAAATAAAAATGAAATCGAGAATGTTTGTGTTTTTTTTTCAAAAATCTTCGGAAGTATTCTGAATTTTTAAACACTCTAGTTGGAATTTTTATCAACATCAAATTGCGCAACTTTGCCTACATTTAGCACCTCGTATCTCTTCTTTAGTTTCCGAGATCTCAAGGATGAGGCTCGAATTTGTGTCACCCTGTATAGAAAAATTAAATTATATTGGTTATTATTGACACATGTTTAAGAGAGATACATGTATTAGAGCAATAAACATTTTCAATCATGTCATTGGATTTGACCCCAGAACTAATTTTACATAGAACTCAATATCGTCATGCAATTTCAAGCAATAATAACGCCCTTCTAGCATTGGCGAGTGTTATTTATATTACAAACAGTAAATTGGACTCTGCCCGCTATAACGGACAGTCACACAAATATTTTGCAATTAAACCGAACTTTGAATCGGTCAGACTCTGCGTGCAATCTGTAGGACGTATATGAATTTACTGTTGAATATTTGTGAATGCCTGGAGTCAAACACAGAATTAATAACTGAATATAATTTATATAGAAAATATAGCAAAATTTACCTAAATAGCGTTAGATTAAAAATTACCAAGAGAGGTTAGACTGTTAAACTAGACTGTTAAACCAAATCTACAAAAGCATTGAGATCCCACAAGATTGGCTGAAGTCAATTTTTGTCCCTATTTCAAAAAATAACATCGCAAAAAGATGCGAGCACTTCAGGTTAATAAGCCTAATGAGCCATGTTTTAAAAATACTTCTCTAAATAATTCGACACAGAACATTCAAAAAATGTGAAATTGATTTAGATGATGGCCAATTTGGCTTTCGAGAAGGAATGGGGATCAGGAAAGCAATGTTTGGCCTGTCTGTTCTCTTAGAGAAATATAGAGACCAAAAAAAGACGTATACATTTGTTCCATCGACTACGAAAAGACCCTTGATAAAGACACAGTGCTGTTTAACATCTTGCAAGAAAAAGGTCTAGACGAGAAAAAAAAAACAAAAACTTAAAAACACTATATTGGAATCAGACAGCATACAGTAGTAGTTATATAGTTAGGGCAAGATGAAACAGATGAAATACCAGTACAACGTGGGGTTCCTCAGGGATGTATACTGTCTCCCTTATTGTTTAACGTATACTCGGGATATATATTCGATAATTAATCGATACAAGATAAAGGCATTGGCATAAAAATGAATGGCGTCCGAATTAACAACCTTAGCTATGCAGTCGACACTCCGATTATCGCTGACAAGCCTGGCTCTTCAAGAACTTCTAGACGACATAGTTTGGGAAGGAGATCCATTGGGCCTTAAAATAAACACGGCCAAAACCGAGATAATGGTCGTTAGTAGGAGAAATATTCCACCACCCAACATACGAGTATACGGACAATGCGTAGACACGGTAAATAAGTTCAAATACCTGGGATTCTGGCTAATATCGGACCTTGACCCCGACTTAGAAGTTACATCGCGTATAGAACAGGCTAGATCAATGTTTAACAAAATGAGAAACCTATTATGTAACCGATCACTCAACATCAACATGCGTATACGTTTTGTCCATTATTGTGTATACTCAATCCTCTTATACTGTGAGACATGGACGATTAAAATGAACACCATGAGATGGTTGGAAGCTTTTGAAATGTGGATTTACAGAAGATTCTTGAAAATACCCTGGACAGATCATGTACGCAATGAAGAGGTTCTTGGGAGGCTTAACAGGGAAAGGGAATTACTTGCAATTATAAAAAAACGAAAGACAGCATACCTGGGCCATGTCATGCGCTACAGTAGAGCAGCTTCTGAAGTTGATTATAGAAGGAAAGGCAGAAGAGGACTTCGGAAACGCAAGCACTCTTGGTTGAAAAACTTACGATACTGGACTGGACTGAGCTCAAACGAACTGTTTCGAGCTGCACAGGACAGACAGTGTTTCGCTGCGATTGTTGCCAACCTTTATTAGAAGATTGTACTAGCAGGATACCTGGCAAGAAGAATAGACAACAGCTGGACCACAAAAATTACAGCATGGTATCCACGAGGAATTAAGAGACCTAGAAGAAGACCATACCAGAGATGGGACCATGATACTAGGAAATTATCAGGGATAACTTGGGCCCACATAGCCAACAATAGACAACCAATGGGTCCACATACAAAGAGAGTATCTAAATATGTGAGGGAGGCTACATTATCATTATTGGAAATGGTTGAATAAGCTGAAAATGATAATAGAATAGAAATTCAAAAGAATTTCAAAAATAATTTCAAGAAATTCGAAAGAAACGGAAAATAGTGGGAAAATAGTATTTTCAAATCTAGAAAGAAATTGTCTAGAATCGAAATGTAAACAAAAACATAGAGAAGAAAATGGCAAAAACTATCAAATCCATTGGCCTCGATGGTTCCAGGTCATTCGGTTAAGGAGTCATCTGTATAAGACTGACAAAATAATACACACTGTATGTTTGTCGTACGTATTTTTTTATAATTTTGTAATATTTAGTAAGAATAATTACTGAATTTGGCACCAACTGTATCTGAGAGTTGACAATAATTAATATTGGTTTAGGCTCAGGTTAAGGCAGCATATTGTGATAACAGGAAGGGTTCAGGAAATTAACTTTATTACAATCGGTTGACAAGTTAATGACAATTAAGTAAAGACTAATCGTCTTGATGTAACAACGTGATGAGTTTAAGGCATTGTGTTATCTTTCAGAGAGTGTTTAGACAGTTTTCATTAATTTTACAGGGCGAAAACAGAGCAGTACTTAATTCAAATTATTTAGACCTAATAAGAAGAAGTAATCTATCAGAAAATTTACATGATGATCAGAAGAGATTAAGTAATAAAAATACTTATTGTACTGAATTATATATATATATATATATATATATATATATATATATATATATATATATATATATATATATATAAATCAGTTCATAACGTTCTTCGCCGTTTTCTGATTTTCAGTCTCCATTGGTCTCAGTCTATTCAGAAGTTTTCGTCTATTCCTCTTATTCTGGTGTCCCCGTCTATTCCTTCTCTCCAACTCTATCTAAGTCTTCCTCTCTTTCTTTTACCTTGTTGTGTCCAATTGAGTACTTTCTTTGGGATTCTGCTCTCTTCCATTCTTTGTACGTGCCCTTACCACCTGAGTTGGTTAATTTTGATCTCTTCTGTTATTCTGTATTTAACGCCCATGATCTGAATTTTCTCCATTTCTTACTCTATCCAGTTTTGATTTCCCGGCCCCGCGCCTCCAAAAGTCCATTTCTGTAGCTTTGAGTGACTTAAGGTTTTTCCATAAGAAAGGCCATACTTGAAATCAATTGATTCTATCAAATACATATTTTTTGATTTATAGATAAAATTCTGGCTATACTAAAATAATATATTTTATTCCAGACATCCAAATGACATACCGGTTACGCAACCCGCATCATTTCCTGCAGTCGTACCTAGAGGTGACAAAGAAGCCATAATGAACAGTATCGCAGACTCGTACTTGAACCAAAGCAAAGAAAAATCACCACACAAAAAGTACAGGAAATTGAAGAAAGCGCCAAGGAAAACCCGTAAGTGTACTTAAATATATTTGGACAACAATTTATTGTCACGTTCTCGTTTAAACTAGTTTATCAGGGAAGCTATAAGCTCTTTGCTTCCACTGTTTAAATGCTTCGGCATATTTTCAACTAAACAATTTCAAGAAATGCAATAAAAAAAAACTCGAAAATTTAGTTCTTAAAAGAACTATTTGTGCTTAAATGCAGAATTTTTAAAAAAAGACCATGAAAATAGGCAAAAAACGAGAATTACTCACAAAAATTCAACAACAACATGGTATTATACAAAATAATGACAGACATTATGATAATTGTCAAATAATAAACGACAACGTTGCTGAACACGGCGCAATTTGACCAACATAGCGATAACAAAATTCGGTTTAAACTAATTTTTGCAGCTTTAATCTAAATAAAATATCTGCTACAATCATTTGCTCTATAAAGTAAAATTAAGAGCTGCTCGGTATCTTAAATTATTATACAACAAATTTAAACATTTTTGCCAAAATTTCATTTAGCGTCGGAAAATGTTTTGCAATTACTATATATTCGCATTTTTATAACCTTCTCTTAAATCAACAAATATTTTTAAACCTTCTCATTCTTCTCAGGTCCACCACGTGACTGCCGCGTAACCGAATGGTCCTCATGGAGCCCCTGCAGCAAATCATGCGGCATCGGGGAGATGCAGCGCAAGCGCGAAGTGGTCAAGCACGCCCGGAGAGGCGGCCGTCTATGTCCACCTTTACTCGAGACGAAATGGTGTGGCAGCGCGAGGTCTTGCAACAAAGAATATTTCAATTGGTAAAGGACAACGTGGAAGAAGATACAAGCGGAGAAATGAATAATTCACCAGCAATGCCAAAAACTAATCATATTTCGACGTAAGAGTATGTAGCAAAAAAAACGAGTTAGGATACTAAACGATTGTTCGTTCAGTGGGTTGAATCAGTTCTGACTGTAAAGTTGCGTTTGGGCATAAAGTAGAAATATTCTAGGACTGTAATAATCTACTCTTGTTTTGAAAAGTGTGGTTTCATCTAAGATTCGAGCATTACATTTATTTGGGTAGCCAAGTGATATAAGCGTCTGCTTGAAAGTCAGAGATTGAAAGTTTGATCTGATTTGATCAATAGGAATGAAGTATACTGCAATCTTTAAGTCCTATTTGTTTTAACTTCGAGGGTACCTATAGGGATTTGTAGTTACTGCTATACTGAAATTTCTATTCAAGATATTAAGTATATCCAGTTGCTCCATTTGGGAGGCTAACATCATCATCATCATTTTCAGCTTATTCAACCATTTCTAATTATGGTGTAGCCTCACTCACGTATTTAGATACTCTATTTGTAGTTGGGCCCAAGTTATCCCTGCTAATTTCCTAATATCGTGGTCCCATCTCAGGTTTGGTCTTCCTGGATAGGTCTCTGGATTCCTCGTGGGTACCATATTTTTTGTGGTCCATTTATTGTCCATCCCTCTTGCCAGGTACCCATTGCCACTTGAGGGATTTGATTCTGTGGATAACATCTATTATCTGGATATTTAGTTGTACCCACTCTATTCTTTTACGATTTCTCTTGGTTATTCTCAGCATATTTCGTTCCATTGAGCGTTGTGCGACCTGCAGTTTCCTTATAATGTCCCTTTTAAGTGTCCAGGTTTCGCATGCATAGGTCATGACTGGTAGTACACAATAGTCGAATGTTTTTTTATATAAAGTGGCATTCTAAATTTGAACATGATTGACTTTCTTCCATAAGTACTTCATTCTAACTTTATTCTTCTGTTGATTTACTTATGTGTATTACTTGTGTATTATTTGCCCCAAACATATATATTCTTCTGCTATTACTAGTGTTGTGTTATTTACAAGAATGTCTTTTCTGTCTATAAGTTCGTTGTACCGGGTGGCCAACTAAGAATGGACGCCGGCTGTATCTCAGAAGCTACTTATCATATAACCTTGGGAAAAAAATTCTAATAAGTAAATCGACCAAGATAAATCGCTGGAAATTATTTTCAAGTTCGAAAAATGCCCGCTAGGGGCGTTTCTCTAATAGCCAATCAGAAAACAGGTTTTTTCTCAAAAATATGCAGGTGAACAGGTATTTTAAATATTACTATTGTAATCATCGAGAAATTTGTAATTTTTTTGATTTAGAGTATTTTGCTCTATCTCATAAAATAAAGTGGTGGGGGAAGGTTAAACTTGCTTTTATGAAAATAAGGATAACTCTGGTTTAGGTTACGCGATTTAAACAAGCTAGAGCTGGTTTAAAAGAGCTTTTCTTCCTTAATGATCTCCAGTATAAATTTTGTTTCCACATTTTTTTTCGTGGTAGCTAGAGGGCGCTGTTTGACATCATAACAGATATTGCGCTTTTCGTAAAAAAAATAAATATGAGGCTATATTTCTCTTTGCACAGTTAAATAGAGCACAAAATTTCCAAAATATCAGCGCAAACCGCAACTTTCTATCTGCTCTCTAACCGGAGATATTAAGAGAAAAAATCCATGTTAGGCTGCCGCTTAGGACTATATGGTCTAAAAATTATAGTAGTAGGCTAGGGAACAAAAAGAGGGTAAATTGGTTACGTCAAAATATCAAAACGTTTAAGTTCAGTTTTCATGCATCCGAATTTTGGGCGTTTTCTTAAAAAAATGACGTCATAATTATTTAAACGTGTTTATGTAACATTATCATCCATCCATATAATTTTTACGAATTTCTTGGTTAATTATATGTAATTAGTTCTCTGATTAAAATGTCCGAAAGTCGGAGATCAATAATTTTATTAAAATTTCTAGGAATTTTGTGCCGCCATATTGTTTTTAACAGAAAACCGCCGAATTTCGTATGGTCGAAAACTAGGGGTTTATTCATATAAAGTCATTTAGTTATTAATCCAAGTCCGTCCTTGATTTCACTTGTTTTCGTGTTTTACCTGTTGTTTGTGTTATTTATGTTTATATTTGTTTGGGACAATTTTCATATAGCACCGAACGAAGGTGCGAATCTTAACAATATGCACTACTGCTCCAAATCTGCCCTTGATGCAAGTAGTTTAGCACCAACACCGTTGGTCGGTAAATGTTTACGCAGGAATTCTAAGATGGCGAATGATTGGACTTTTTTAAGTATCCGAATGAAATGAACTATCCATAATTTCTAAGAAATGAATTGCCAATTTTGTTAGGGGATCCATAATGATGAAATTGCATTTGTTGCAATTTCAACAGCATGAATGCCGTTGGTGTAGTTGAGGCAGTGGTGCCGCTTATTTTGCTATTAATATGTGGGACTTACTTTAGTAGATAGAGACGCTGGAGCGGCATATTTTCATGGCCAGCTCGGTCATCGGATACAATATGCCAGGGTTTTATTTTATGGGGGCGAATCAAGAACGAAACATGGATAGATAATAATTAAACGGTATTAAAATGAAATTAAAATATATGTTTTGATATTTTGACGTAACCAATTTACCTCTTTTTGTTTCCTAGCCTACTACTATAATTTTTAAACTATATAATCCTAAGCGGCAGCCTAACATGATTTGTTCTTTTAATATCTCCGGTTAAAGAGAAGATAGAAAGTTGCGGTTGGCGCTGATATTTTGGAAATTTTGTGCTCTATTTAACTGTGTACAGAGAAATATAGCCTCCTATTTAATTTTTTTACGCAACAGCGCAATATATTTTATGATGTCAAACAGCGCCCTTTAGCTACCACGAAAAAAATTGTGGAAACAAAATTTATACTGGAGATCATTAAGGAAGAAAAGGTCTTTTAAACGAGCCCTAGCTTGTTTAAATCGCGTAACCTAAACCAGAGTTATCCTTATTTTAATAAAAACAAATTTAACCTTCCCCCACCACTTTATTTTATGAGATAGAGCAAAATACTTTATATCAAAAAAATTACAAATTTTCGATGATTAAAATAGTAATATTTAAAATACCTGTTCACCTGCATATTTTTGAGAAAAAACCTGTTTTCTGATTGGCTATTACAGAAACGCCCCCTAGCGGGCATTTTTCGAACTTGAAAATAATTTCCAGCGATTTCTCTTGGTCGATTTACTTACAAGAATTTTTTTCCCAAAGTTATATGATAAGTAGTTTCTGAGATACAGCCGGCGTCCATTCTTAGTTGGCCACCCGGTACATTACTTAGTTTTTGTTAAATTCATTTTGAGACCTACTTTATTTTTGGCTGTAATTAGTTCGTTAATTTGTGCTTTTAGTTCTTCAGGACTATTGGCAATTTTAGGACTATGTCGTCAGCGAATCTTAGATGGTTAAGATATTCTCTATTGGGAGGCTATTAGCTGCTCTTTTTTTAGGCACAACAGTAATCATTAATTCAAAAATTAATTGTATTTTCTGCCGCGTTTTGGATGTCGTGTGTCGAAATCTTCCTTGACTCGTGAGACAAAATTTTTCATAACCTTTAAATGTATGAGACATGTTTTGTTGTTTCATTTAGATATCCGAAAATTATTTTATTAAATACTGCTTTTTATTTTGCTTCATAAAATATTATTTATGGTAAGCAGTTTAAATATTCTACTTTATGTCATAAACGTATACTATTTATTTATTTCTTATACACATTGAACACTACCTTAAAAATGAAGCAGTCTTATGGCTGATTTTTTTTATTACTAAACTTTAATAAAGTGTTAATAATACCATTTTATTTATTTTTCATCAATATTATTTTTGATTCATTTTAATAAAAATAAAAATAATGTAATTAATAATAATACTATCAATTATACGTTATTCAAACATTCTAGGTTTTAAAACACAGAATTTATCAAGCAATAAGACAGCTTATCAAGTGTCAATCTAACCTGTTTACTGCGTATAAGACTCACAATCACCAAAGAACTGATATTTTATAAATAAATATGAAGAATAAATAAACCAAAAAAAAAATAAACATGTGTTCGATGTTTTAAATGTATAAAATTTTTACAACAATCAGATTAAGTAAGGGAATAATAATTATAATACTAATAAACACTTTTTATGACACTTTAGTGCATGTGTGAGAATTTTTGTATATTCAATGCGGTTTCTGTAGTTTACATAAAATATGTTAATCCGTTTATGTGCACATATTTAGTACCTTTCTTCCTTTTCTATATTCTTTCAAACACTCTTGACACATTTGAAAAGAAAAATATATTTATGCGACACTAAATCGAAAAATATAAAGATGTATTTTCTTTTTTCCTATATTGTATGTTTGTAAAAAAACTTAAAGTATTTTGTAACACTTCTATCAAGAAACTCGTTTAAATCAAGCGTTCATTTCTATGATATTTTCTAGAGTTTTTTCGTTTTTTTTTCTACAATTTCTCCTCAGTGAGGAACATTTTGGTTTTAAAGTGTTTATATTTTCTTTTCTCAAATACACACTTTATATGCCCATAAAAAATGTGTCAATAAAAATTCCTGTGTAAATCTTTTATACTCTACCACTGTCTAACATGAACTTTTTTTCCAGTTAACCTTAAGTCCAGAAGTTCTTTCCAGAAAAAATGTTCACTGATATTCACACCACAAAAGTTATAACTAGGGTTTTATAACAAAATGAATATATCATTTTTTCTTTTATATAATATAATTTATTATACAGGCTGGCCCATCGAAAACGTTCCGCAAGGCATAACGGCCAGGGTATTTTTTTTCAAAAAGTCCAAAAACACGTCAATTTTGTTGGAAAATATGAAGGATTGAAATTTGAAAAGCTTATTTAAACATTTATCAGAGTAAATAAGGATAAGTTCCTTCGACCAATTTGCTGTTTTTTCTTATTATTTCTAGATGTTTACGCATTTTTTCACTTGCCACAAGGTTGAATGATCAGGTGCGGTAGTTGCTAGATAGCTGTTCTGTGACTTGTGCGTTGAAATTCTTCTCAATATCGTTAAACTTTTTAACAATTATGGTGTACTCATTTGCAGAAAAAGTGGAAATAATCGAACTTTATTTTGAAAATAACGAATGTGGCAAATGATGACACCCCCGCTTAGAGGGTTGAAGTTTTTGCAATAATTTTTGGGGTAAAAGTTGTCCCCCTCACAAAAACAAAATTGACGTGTTATTGGATTTCTTGAAACCCTGGCCGTTATGCCTTGCGGAACGTTTTCGATGGGCCACCCTGTTTATATGTTAGATGTTATTATTAACCAACAATAAGTATCTTTCAAGAGATGTATGGAGTTCCGTAATCTTTTCTATTCTGAGCGCAAACCTTCATTTCAAAGTTGTAAAGTAAATGTAATTAATGTGTAATATACTACTTCCTAGATATAATACCTACTAATTTTGTTAACTATTGTGTGAATGACACTTTTTATAGTAGAATTTATTGACTGCTGGGTGCATGGAAAGTCATAGGAACATCCCTTTATTTATTATATTTTATAAAGATAGACGAAAAATTATATCAGGTAATGTAAGACTTGTTTTTCTATGACTAAAAGTTATACCCAGCAGCACAACTTTAGAATCTTATACTGATGTGCTACAAATACTGTTTTAATTCTGTTTTTGAATTAAGTTATGATTTTGGTTGAGTCTATTTCAGATTTTTAAGTATGAAAATGTTTACTGTTGAAAGTATTTGTGGCATCATAGTCTTTTTCCTCATTGTT